TTGTGAAAACTGTTTTTAAAGTGAAAACTTAAAATAATACTGGAAATGTAGAATAATAGGATCAGCCGTGATGTAGTCACAGAGTAAGGCACTTTAAAGATACCTCAGGGGTCTAACTGAAGATAAATACTTCTTGACCAGGTCAGAAGTTTCTGGCCTTTGAGATAAACATCCCATTACAGTTGGAACCTCAAAGACAGACATACAAATTACTACACTAGCTTTTTTTTTCCTTCTGTTTTCTTGAGAAAGCAGCTACCTCCTACAGCAAGCACTGAGGATTATTCTGTGAGGAAGCAGTGCACTATAATGTCAATAATAAGAGGTCAAGGTGCAATCCCAAATGTCCTTAGCTTTCTTTAGTTTGCCTTTGAGGATGCTGTATCTTTGAATTTATATGAACACATTTAAGCACATTTCTTGAGTTAACCAGTCTTACATCTCCATCGTATCTCTTATTCAAGTTTCTGGGATGTCCTCTGTATCGAATTGAGAGTTAGTAAACTCGTGTATTTGCTCCTTCTCTGGATCCAGTTCAATAAAGATCTGTCAAGATATTGCCTTTTGTAGTTTAATAACTATTACAATGAATTGCCAGATGCCTTTACTTATTCTGAAAGCAATTACCTGGCCTATTTAAAAAAACCACTTTCCAAATCTATTCCCATTAGACTTTCCACCAATCTATATGTTAATATTTAAAGTTCCTCATTAGTACAAAGTCATCTAACTTTTCATGCTCATGAATCTCCTCCAACATCTCCAGCTCAAGTTTAGCATTATGCGCATTCTTGTTGTTATTGTCACTGATTTTGTCGTTGTTGTCAAAAGGAGGACTTTGTTCTTTTGGAGAGGGTGCCCTAGTCTGTCTTATGTAAAGTCTTCTGAATCCTTCATACCTCACCATCTCAGCTATGCATTGACAGTAATGTTATTTTTTTTTCTATTTTTGCACCACGGAATGAGAAAAGTTCAGGAAAATGCCTCAGCTTACCTCCGAGTTACTTGAAACACATGGAAACCCAATGTTTAATATTCTGTATCTTCATTTGTCCTTGGAAATGCTCAGTCATCTTTGGCAAAATCATTCTGTCTATGAACTAATGAGGGCCAAACCCTTGGATGTTAGTGGAAAATCTCAGTCTGCCTCTCTTGATAGTCACAGATTTATTGTACAGAACCCAACTGGTAATAATTTTGAGGACCTAGGTACATTTCCAGTTCCCTTCCAGCAAGCCCCTTAGATTTTCAAAGTAAAAGAAGAATATGTTCATTTATCTAGCTATCCAAAAATAGTCAATGCATGGCTTCCCAAAGACCATTCATTCAGTTGGTCTTTACACTGCTACCAGCATAAAAGTCCACCCCCAATTTTTGTGCATTTGTCTTCTGCCTGTGGACGAAAAATTATAAACCATATAGACAAGGACTACATCTTCCTGCTGGTCTAGCACCTTACTAGTTCTTATTAGAACATTAGTATTGAGGTGGAAAGATGAGAGATATTGCAAATGATAAATGACTCCCACAAGATTTGTCTTAGTATTTATCATGGTTCATGTTTTATGGGTGAAGAAACACAGTAAGATCGTAGTGGTTGTTAAGACATGCAAATAAGTATAATGAGTCACTGGAAGTTGGAAAATAAAAGTTATAAATACCACAGTTTTTACTAGATTATCCTCCTTGGTAGGGGCTGAGATGGGGAGAATTTGCAGGACAGTACAATGTTTTAAGAAAGACTGACTGCTATAATATATTTGAAAACACAATGATGTGCTTAAGAATTAAGTTAAACTAAGAATTTAGGCAAGGATTCCAAAGGATTAAATATGAGCAGTGCTGTTGTTAATCTAGAAACTGTAAAAGATAGATTACATGGTAGGATTCCCAAGGATTCTTTGAAGTTGAAAAGATATATTTTGGAAAAGAATTAGGTTAAATAATTTATAAGAAAATAAAGTGAAGAATCATACTAAACAAGTATCTTCTTCTGGCTAGGTACTTTATATATTCTCACTTAATTGTCAAAATAAATAAGAAAGACTAGTTCACTTTGTCCTCGAAAAAGCTCAGACTCAGGAAAGTAAAGTAACCAGCCCAAGGGTACATAGCTCACGCTCTTTCATCCACCTCACATCATTTCTATGAATAACCAATCTGCTCAAATATTCATGGAAGTTGAATTTAATGTTGGTATCTTTATAAAGTGAGTTAAGATTCAGTATTAACTCTGAATTTCAGCATTGGATCGTCAACCATAAATCAATCAATAACACTATTTGACTGTCTATGTCTAATGTGGACAAATGATGGAGATATTGAAGATTCTGAAGGAAAATAATATCTTATTCCTGAGATGGATGGCATCTCTTTCAGATGTGCATAAATCTATGGAAAAATATATACACCTACAGAATTATGGATACACCCAGAATCATTTTGTAAGCCAAAAATCAGAAGGAAGTGACTGGTGATAAATGTTGGAGTGACCCGAGTTAAAGTAGTCCAGATATGTTTATGTCTAGGAATCAAATTTTATAAATTTAAACGTGATATAGGTGCTCACTATGTGCCAGACATAAGTGACCATCATTAATCCTCATACCAACCTTGTAAAGTAGGTGCTAATACTATCTCGGTTTTACCAGTGGCAAAACTAAAGCAGAAAAAAAGAGTCCAGCATCTTGGTCAGGTTTCCAGAGCTGGTAAGTGGCAGAGCTGGGATTTAAACTGAGGCAGTACCAAAGTTGCTGCTCTTACGTTCACCTTATACCTTCAATGTCAGTATGCCATGTAAGTAAGCAGTCTATTTATCTTAGGACATAGAGATTAGGATTCCCTAACCCTTACTATAAATTTTACATGTGAACATACTTCACCATTGTTCTTAGAGGAACACATTCATTAATTTATTCAACATATTTACTGAATACCTACAATGTGGCATACACTCCTCATGTGGGGGGACAGAACAGTGAACAGGACACACAAGGGCCCTGCTCTGTTACACTCACAGTACCAGGCACTCAATACATGTTAACAGTGTAGTACAATGCATTTTAATTTCAAAAATAATGTATGTTTTCATTGGCTTGGATAAATTATCTACATCACTTTCCTTAATCCAAGTTACCCTTATAATCTACCTTTAAAAATTAGTACCATGTTCCCAAAATTTCTATTAAGTAGAAAGGTTTGGGGGATTCCTACTTAGAATCAGAGGAGTAGTTAAAACACTCCTACAGTCTTAAAATGATTCTCTGAATGGGGCATTAAATCATGTACCTTTGTAGTAGTTATATTTTCATAATAAGATATGCCACTCTTGTCCACTTAAGGAACCATTCCCTCCCACTGCTCCAAACTGCTTATTATACATGTTGTTCAGTGTCTTTTACCCAGTAAGTAGCTATTAAAGGATGTTTAATAACATGTGGAGAATAAGGTATCCTACATTAAAGAAATTCACGCTGCCATTACTTCCCCAAAATACCAATCATTTGCCAAATTTAAATGGCCTTAGTAGCCTACCAATGTTGCTTTTTCCTATTACAAAGACCCACCTCTAAAAATCATCAAGTACAACCCATTAAAATGAATGAATATTCTAGAAACCTGCTAGGGTAATCTACATTTTAATGAGACGGAAAGGGCTCTAGGAATATTTCCATTCCCTTGTCTCTTACATATGTTTCCTTACCTGCCCTCTAGAGTGGAGGATGTGAGCCGTGTCAGGCTCCGCTAAGATCCTCCCCCACCTCCACCCCCACCCCCAAGTTTGCTGCCTAAGCTTGCACGCAGGGACCCACATGGCATCACGGAATGGGCTCTTTACATATATGCAGTGCCATAGCTACTTACAGAGCTATGCACACGCGTGTATGCCCATGTATGGGTGTGCTTCGTACGCCTGTGATGGGACCCGCGTGGGTCTCCCTCTCCTTTCCACCTGACCGGTGGGGAATCCCAGCAATTCCCCGGAACTCAGGGAATAGTGAGATGAGGTAAATAGCTCTTTTCCCTTCCTTGGTGGCAGGCACCGCTGGGTGCCAGGAATCTGCAATGCCTCTTCTCACAAGCAGCTAATAAAAGGAGACTGGGAAGATGAGCAAGTGGAGAATACATGAACGAGGAAAGGGCCGTTGTACGAAAGATGATGCTTCGGGAGCTACCGAACTATGATTGTGTTTCTACATTACAAAGCCCTAGGAAGCTAGAGGGGAGGCAGAGAAACTCCGAATCTAAAATGCTCTGAGATCATTTTTCTAATTGTGCCTAGAAACCACCGCTTGGCGTGTGTCCTGCGCGGGGTTAAAGAATCCAAGCGAGCGCCGGCTGAAACTCGCCGCGCGGCATCCGGCACTTTGAGCTTCGGTGGCGTTTGCGCTCCGAAGACGCGTCCACGCACCATTTTCCCAGGCGTTGTGCGGGTTTCTTAAACAGCCCAGCTGCTGCCTCAGAAAGGAGTTTCAGCTCACACCTCCCTCCCCATCTTTTTTTTTTTTTTTTTTTTTGGTTTTTACCCCACCCAGGGAGGCTTCTCAGCTCCTGGATCCACTTTCCACCCTCCAGGGGTACAGGTGCCGCTGTCCCTACTTCTGCCGCTCCGTCCACCGACGCCGCCTCCTCCGGGCGGGCCTGGGGGCTTCACCCGGCGCTGCTGCATCGCGAACGGTCTCTCGCTGGGCGCTGCGGCCGCTGCCCAGCGCCCGGGACTCCCCGCCCTCCAGCGACCCAGCACGCGCCCGGGAGGCGGGCGGCGCTTCGGCGGGCAGAGCCAGGGGAGGGGCTCGTCTGGGGTGGCACGCCTCCTCTGCAGCATCTGGCTGCTGGAAACCCGGACCTGCCTCCGCCCTCTTCCTCAGCTCATCCCTCGCCTCCCTCCTCGTCCTCTCCGCCACCCCGCCGCCGCGCCCCCGGTGGCTGCCTCGGCGGACCCGGGAGGGGGCCCGCCGCGTCCGCCGCCCGCTCGGCTCGGCCCGGCCCGGGAGGCGTGCATGCCCCTGCTGCCCGCGGCGCTCACCAGCAGCATGCTCTATTTCCAGATGGTGATCATGGCAGGGACGGTGATGCTGGCGTACTACTTCGAGTACACCGACACGTTCACCGTGAACGTGCAGGGCTTCTTCTGCCACGACAGCGCCTACCGCAAGCCCTACCCGGGCCCGGAGGACAGCAGCGCCGTGCCCCCCGTGCTCCTCTACTCGCTGGCCGCCGGGGTCCCCGTGCTCGTGGTAAGCCCTGGGGGGCCCACCCTGGCGTCGGACTCCCTTCTGTCGCCCCTCACCTTCGGGGTGGAGGCCCCGCTGAGGGTCGGGGCGCGGCAGCTTTGCCTTCTAAGTTCCTCCAAGTTGTGGGCAGCCCCTTCCCCAGAGGACATTCTTCTAGGGCGCGTCAGGGGTGGGTGCGAAGGAATCCCGCACCTCTCCGCACCTGCCACCCCCGCACCCCCTGCTGCGGCTGCAGTATTGGGTGGCGGGGAGGAGGATGAGAGGGAAGGGGGCCGTGGGAGGTGATGGGTGGGGGGTCGGAGCTGGGGAGGAGGTGAGCCCTCGGGATGAATTTCTACTTCCTCCACTCAGTGGCCTTGCTCCGCTGGCCGCCTGCTCTGAGATTGCCCCTGGAAGATGAGCAGCGGCGGGCCGGCGGGGAGGAGAGGGCATCAGTTGCTGGGGTGTGGAGGGGACTCCTGCTTCCTGAGTCTGGGCGCGTATTCCCGTTTTACCACCGCCTTCCCTTTCACATGAAAGTGCCAGTGGGACTAAGCTGACCAGGGAACAAATAGCTAAAAAAGAATGTTGAAAACTGCTAAGTGGAACGGTCCAGCAGCAGTGCTTGCTGAAAAGCAGGAGCTGTGTCCAAATTACAAGATTCATTTAAAGGCTGCTCCAGTCTAGTCTCTGGGCATCTTAAGTCCTTATCTCTGATAGCTTTGCTTAGAATGCCTTGGAGGTTTTGGGACTGTGTGTGTGTGTGTGTGTGTGTGTGTATAAGGACATACACGCATATACACACACGTATAATTATTAGAAGGATTACCACATAATAATTTACATATGTGAATATGGTGCAAAGTTATTGGTAGAACTGGTGGTGTTTCTTAAAGAAAACATTATGGTTCCTCTGTTATTGTCAAAGTATTGGAGGTTTCCTTCCAGTGGTACCGCTTCTCTCTCTCTCTCTCTCTTTCAACTCTCAATAGATAGCAAACAGGAAATTGGAAAATGAAGAGGACAGGGAAGAGGAAGTTTTATTTTAGTGGCTGACTGTGTACATTTTAACAATGAATGTTGAGAACATCGATGATATATCCTGGGTTTGGATATTCATGTTTGGTTTGATTTTAGGGGAAATGATTTAATATTTTTTCCAAATAATGGGAAGTTCCTAACACACATAATGGAATCCCACCAAGGAACTTCTTGATAACTTCAAAGTAACTTCGTTTATCACAGGTACCATGATAGTTGACTTGCACCAGAAAACGTTTTGTTTTGTTTTAGTGTTGTAATTTTCTAGAAATCCAGCTTCATGTTTGTGTTCTCTTCCATTTGAAAAACTGAAAAAAGAAAGAAAATGTAGTCGTTGGAGGGATTCTTTCTGCTTTCTGCAGATGTTGGGTTTTCAGGCACATGTTTTCTGGGTGACTAAATAGCTCAGGGTTTTTTGTTTTTGTTTTTGTTTTTTTAAGAAAAAAGCCTGTCACTTTTAGGTCACTTGTTTGGTTGCAACCATAATCAATAATGTCTGTAACGCTTCCCTTGGTAATTACTGTTCTGTGTCTTATTTAAATGAGATAGCACTCTTCAGATCCTGACCACCCATCCTTGGTGGCAAGTGTCAGTTAGAGACAAGAACGTATTGGCCCAAAGATGTTGATTATTTCCTACTAGGAGGAGAAAGGGAATTAGTCATTACTGAGTGCCTACTTTGGACTAATAGCATTTAGTCCTCAGTGCATTCCTCTCCAAATAACATTTGAGGACGCTGAGGATCAGATAATAAAATGGAAGGAGCTGAAAATAAAAATGGGAGGTGTGGTGTTTTTATGCCCATGGGACTGGCACCAAATGCCATGGTACTTCTACTGCTTCCAGAGAGCATGTTCTCAGAAAGAGGATGAGAGGGCTGATGCGGCAGGCATGGAGAATAAAAATTGAGAGGTTTTAAAAGGGAGGATCTCACTTGATTCCCATCATATTTTGACGTTCAGTCCTTTAGTTGCAAGGGAAAGAATTTGGGGGGGTCAGTCTGAAGGGAAGGAAGTGTTGGCTTTTAGAGGCTACCTTCGCTGCTGGCCCTTGTTTTCCCTTCTGCTTTTCCAAGCAGTACGTTCTCATAGTAATGGCAGTCCTGCCTTTCCATTCCTCTTGAGAATACTGGCTTGGCACAGTCACTCTACATGGAAATGATGTTATCAGTAATAATACTAGTAATGCCCATGATTTGTCGCGTTATATACCTTATACCCATTTAATATTTGCGTTATCTATGAAAGCAATTATTATTCTTGTCACCTAACATTTGCAAAAACTGAGGCTTAGAAAGGTAAACTAATTGCCCAAAGACCAGGGCTAAAAATGTCATACTCAGAATTGTAACCCTACTTTGTTGAACTCCCCAGCTGGAGTCTTTTCTATTATAATATACAAATTCAACTTACTCATAAGTCATGCTTCTGAATAAATGCCTCAAACAGTCTCTGTCCCCATCTCTTACATTTCTTGGACTATAGTGATGAAGCTTCTTCATACTGTATATTTTTTTACCCTTCAAACATCATTTTTAATTCTTCAGATTAATTTGAAAAGTAGCTCTCCTCACTACCACAATCAGTGGCTTTGTTTCACACTTGCTAAATTCGTTTATCTAAAAATCAAAAGCAATATGTATTTTTAGTTTTATCATTTTTATGTAGTATTGTTTTGGGATCTAACAAATTTGGATTTAGATTCAAAGTGCTTCCTGTTGCTGTGTTAACTGTTGGGAACCCTACTTGCTGTGTAACCTTGAACAACTTTGTTTAATCTTGTTAAGCCTCAACTTCCCAAGTCTCAGGATTGTGCATATTAAATTAGATGTAATACATGAATGTCATCCTTTGGCCCATAGTGGATACTTCATAAGAGATAAGAGATCAGTAAATCATCAGCATTATTAATGAAGTGATAATTCAGTAAATGTTTATTGAATTCCTGTGTTTCAAGACAGAGTAGAAGTTATAAAGAGAACTTCAAAAATAAACCAAACTCCTAAGGAGTTTACAGCCTAATTTGGGAAATCAAGTAAATATGCCAAGGTCATAGTATAAATCACCATAATAGAAGTGTGTACACACACACACACACACACACACACACATGTACACACACACACACACACATGTACACACGCCACAAAGACTTCCGGTGGTTCAGAAGAAGATAAGATCATTTTTATTTGGAGGGGTGGGGAAAGGCTTCATGAAGAAAGTGGTGGCATTTGAGATGTGACTTGAAGAAGAGTCTGGAGTGGAGTTTGAGTTGGGACATCACAGAAGCAGCTACCTGGACAGCCACTTGGTAGCAGAAAATGCAGGCTGTACTCTTGAAGCAGCAGTTGGTTTGTCTTGTTTCTCAGAGTGTTGTGTGGGGAACACAGAGGTTATATGGCTGAAGAGGAAGACTAGGGTCTCATTAGTGAGTTCTGGAATGGCAGGCTGAAAGTTTTTCTCAATCTGTTGGGAATGGACTAGGGACATTGTCTGATGGGTGGTGTTTTAAGACATTTTGGGGACAGTAAAAACACCAAAAAAGAATTTTGAACTCTTATCCTACAAGCCTATTTTGTGTTGTGAGATATTAGTTTAATTGTGTTTTCAGAAAATGCCTATAATTTGGGCTCATTTACAAAGACATATTGTATAAGCTCTTTGAAAATGTCCTGTTCAGTTTGATCTGTGTAGCATTTGCTAAAGCACCACATATGGAATTTATAGATACAAATTTAATTAGTGATCTTTGATTTTTTTCATTGATTGAAATAACTGGTAGTGACAATGGTTTCTGCTCCCCAAATTTGGATACAGTGGCCATGAGCAGCTATTTATTGCTCCTTAGATCATTAAGCAACACGGGTGATTTGAAGGAGACCAAAGCTAGAGCGTTCTTCATAGAGCCAGAACCAAGGCAGAGAAAATCCAGCAGGGAGCAGGGTGGGTTTGAGGGTTAGGGAGTATCTCTGATTCCTATATCTGCATTCTCAGGAAACTCCCTTTGGACTCTGAGGTTCTGAGGGATATAGCTACTGCTGCTATCCCAAGGGTATCGCATCACTAAATGTGGCCGAGATACATGATGACAGAAAGGCATTCTGTATCCAGGGCTCCATCTTGTTAGATCAGAGTGCCTAAAGCTTTCCCATAGACCTCTTCTCCTGTGAACCTTACCTTGAGTGCTCGCTCCTATTTCTACTCCTAGAACTCATGCCTGTGGCCTGGTGCAGGAGCAGCATGGATATGGATGTCAGACAAGTCTAGATTCTTATCTGCATTTCTCTCACTATATGTGTGACCTTGGGCAAAATTTTCTTATTCATAAACTGGAGATAAAAATGCCTACCTCTTGGAAGGCAGTGCATGTAAAGGTTAAGATCACAGACTCTGGAGTCAGACTGTTTGGGTTTGAAGCCCAGATCTGCCACTTTCCTACTGTCTGAACCTGAGCCAGTCTTTCTAGGCTTCAGTTTCTTCCACTGTAAAATGGAGATAATATGAGTATTGGCCTGATAGGATTATTAAGAGTATGAAATGGGTTAACATATATGTCAGAGTAGTGCCCAGCTAAATACGTGTCACCTACCATTAGTCCTCTCCAGGTTGTGATGATTAATCAAGATAATCTAAGGCACCTAGCAAAATACATTTGTTAGTGGATTCCAGGGCTGATGAAATATTAGACGTGGACAGAGGCCACCTAGCTCAGTCCACTCACCCACAAAAATTGGGGTGTCTGAATTGCAAGAATAGCAAAAATCAGAACTCTGTTATTGACCTCAAGTAATGATTCCTACCTTTGATGACCCCTCTATTTTTTCAAGTAAGCTGACACTAGCTAATATCTCCTATGCACCAGAAACTGTGCTAGATACGTTTAATGCTCACTATTGTAGTACTTTCTTTAAACACAAACACTGTCATTAAATCCACTTAAAAATGAGAAATAGGATGTTTAGTGGGATTATGTATCAGACCTGT